ACGTGATAGAGAGGTGTGTAACAGGGATTTGGATGCAAGGTCAATGGGTAAACTATGTATTTTGCCCTTTTAGAAATGAACTAAATAACTTCAGCACATTGGGCTGAAGTTTTAGCAAATGAATTCAACAAACTTCAGCATGTTTTAGCATTAATTGCATACTATACAGGAGTAAACATAACAAACACAATTAAAGTAGTAATTATATTGCGTTGGGGGTATGTGTTAGTGTAATAATTACATTCCTATCACATTCATGCAGGCTTTTCATTAGACAACGTTTAAAATTCCTCTTTGCCTTTACATATACCTTGCAGAAGTTTTTTTGCCTATATAAGTACGCTATACCTTGTGAGTTTATTCACTCAAACACATATATTTTAGCAGATAAAATATAAAAAGGAGAAAAATGGATGCTGTCATCAGGCAAATACTGGACGAAATTAAACAAGACATCATTGAGGCATTTGAGTTGAAGCTTGATGAGGTCATAGAGAAATACGACAGGGAGCTGCAAGAAATCAACAACAAGCTTGATACGCTTGTGATGTTTGCAAGATTTGATAATCTTGTTGATGAAGACGATCGTCCATCTGGGAGTGACGACGATGATGATGATAATATGGATGATTAATTTTTGTTTTTTTCTATAATCCTTTTGGTTAAAGGATTATAATGTTATTTTTTTTATGTAATTTAATTTGTGTTTTTTAATGTTTAATGAATGTTTTATTTTCGTTTTAAGTTTTTTGTGCGTTTTTTTTTAATATTAATTCTATTCAAACTCGAAAAATAACAGAGGGAATGAACTAAGTAACTTCAGCAGGAATTAACAAAAACTAATCCGAAAATTAAATATTTTTTGGTATGAAATTTTTCCAAAAAATCATAATAAAATACATAGTGCAGGAGGAAAACTTTAGCTCCATTTGCTGAGTTTTCAAGCATGTACTAAAAATCCTTTTTAACTTAGAAAACAATAGAGGAATTAACAAAAACTTATCCGAAAATTACATATTACAGGACAAAATATTAAGCAGATGAACTAAAAAAAACTTCAGCATACAAAAAATTATATGAAAAATATTTTACATATTCCTGAAAACATAAGTATTTTTTGGTATGAAGTTTTTTCAAAATATCAAAATAAAATACATAGTGCAGAAGGAAAACTTCAGCTCCATTTGCTGAAGTTGTTAAAGAATAACTAAAAACTTCAGCACTTTATGCTTATGTTTTTGTGCAATATTAAATTTTAGTTTATGTTTTATTTTTTTAACCAGTGTAGGAGGAAAACTTCAGCTCTTTTGCTGAAGTTTTTAAAAATGAACTATAAAACTTCAGCATCCATGCTGAAGTTTTATGTTTTATTTTTTTTAATCAGTGCAGCTATGTTTCAGCTTGTTTTCTTGAAGTTTTTACATATGAACTAAATAACTTCAGCTTGTTTAGCAAATAAATAAAAAATTCCCGAATATTATGCAGTGGAAAACTTCATCATATTTGAATTTGTCGGATTAGAATGTTAGTATTCAACGTGAAACAGATTTAGGATGCAAATTCAGCACATTAGTGAAGAGTTCATGTTCAGAAAACATATATGAAGAAATCAATCAGTTTCAAAAACTATTTTCAATTCTGAAGATGAATTTGAATACTTACAATGTATTTTGTAATTTTGAATTTGAAATTTGAATCTCGTTCAAATCTGGTTTGCGAGAAGCGATCTGAGGAGAGACGGAGTGATGGAGGATAGACGGAGGCGATCTGGAATTTTGAATCTGGTATGCGTGATGCATCTTTTATATGTTTTGGAAGGGGTATAATGGTCATATTATTACGAATTTTTTGTTAGTTGGTTACGAAATCAATAGTTTTTAAAAATAGGGTACAGGTTAAAAGGTGGCATAAATATAGGGTATGGCTGCAAATCTCCCGTTGAAATATCCTCCCATGAAAAGTTTCTCGGTATGCGGGATATCATGCACCATCTCATCCAAATCCTCCCAGAAACGCCTCTTGACTTCCTCATCTGATTTTTAACAAATAATATATTTTAAAATTATAATTTGAAAAGTATAATAAAGTAAGTGTAAGAAATTTAAAAGTTGAACTTAAAATTAGGACATTCTTACGAAATCAGATTCATCGTTTGGATACACTTCCTGTGAAATGAGTTAGAGATGGGCATATAACTAACATTTGAACTAAAATAAAATTGAGTAGCAACTCATTGGTATATTGTAATTTGTAGGTGCAAAGTCGATAACACAAGACTCTCCTCTTTTTCTCTAGTCGGGCCTTCTCAAATCCCAAAAAATGCGAACAATAATAAGTTGTACCAATCATTTATCCCACAATTAGTGAGGCTTGCTCTAGGCAAGGTACTCCCTCCGGTTCATAATAAGTGATTTTTTGGTTTTTTTTTGTGGTCTAAAATAAATGATTTTTTCTGATTTCAAGACTGAATTAATTATTTTTTTCCTACATTGCCCTTGGAGTAAATAATGTTGAAGTATGTGTTAGGAGTATTTATGTGAAGAGCTAGTAAAGGTTAATATGGTCAATTTCATTGGTAATTAATTTTAAAAGGTGAGTTTCTTAATATGTGTGAAAAATAACCAAAAAATCACTTATTTTGGACCGGAGGGAGTACAGTTTACGCCAACTTCTGGATTGGAGATTTGAGTCACGTGAAGAGTAAGTGGGGACTAAGCCTGTTTAACAGGCAGGGTTGACTCGTTTTTCGACCGGCTCAGACCGGTTGTAACCCGGACCGGTAGTTAGGGGTCGGGTGGGCTGGGTTAGGGGGTTAGGGGGGGTTGGTCAGTTTAAAAAAAATCGATTAACCGGACCGGTCAAACCCGGTCAACGAAAAATACTGTTGAACCGGTTAACCGGCCCGGCCGGACCGATTCAAAGGCTATAAATCTAAATTTTTTTTTAAAATATTGATATTATCGTTGGCAACGGTCAGCTTCAATTTGCCGTTGCCCAACAAGTGGATTGCAAAAATAGCCCTTTTTTAAAAAATAATACTTATAAAATTTACCCCTTTGAAAAACTAT